AAAAAAAAAAAAAAAAAAAAAAAAAAATTGGTGTTGGTTTGCCTCGGTTATGACGAAGAAGGAAGTTTGACATGCGGCGGTAAAAATCATCTGAAAAACAAACACATCAAACATTAAACTTGTAACACAAAAAACCGACCACTTTGGCTCAAACAAGAATCTCGTTTTTTTTTTCAAGAAACCCGTTTATTTCTCAAGAAACCAGTTTATTGTTCAAGAAACTCGTTTTTGTTCAAGAAACCAGTTTCTTGACCAACAAACTGAGGTTTTGTTCAACAAAATTATTTTTTGTTCAAGAAATAGTTAATTGGTCAAGAAACGTGTTTCTTGAGCAAAAAACGGGTTTCTTGTTCAAGAAACTCGTTTTTTGGTCAAGAAACCCGTTTCTTGACCAATTAACTATTTTCTTGAGATGGTTTCTTCATAAAAAAAACGGATTTTTTTCCCAAGAAATAGTTTATTTCTCAAAAAACTAGTTTCTTGAGATGGTTTCTTCATCATAAACCGGGTTTCTTGAGCAAAAAACGGGTTTCTTGTTCAAGAAACTCGTTTTTTGTTCAAGAAACTCGTTTTTTTGTTCAACAAACTCGTTTTTTGATCAAGAAACCCTTTTTTTTCTCAATAAACTCGATTTTTGTTCAATAAACTCGTTTTTTGTTCAAGAAACCCGTTTATTTCTCAAGAAATTAGTTTCTTGAGTAATAAACTCGTTTCTTGTTCAATAAATAATTTCCATACATATCTCTTCAAATGTCATTCGCATTGTCGCCTCTTCAAAGCATTAGATTTTTTTTTTTATATAAAAAATGTTAATTTTAACTTATATCCATTATTATAGGTTTTAATAATTTTAAATTTATATTTTATATAATTAATTTTAATGTAAATTAGTACACACGACCTGAAGCCTTCACTTTAAAACATTTTTGCACTAAATTGGTCAACCATGATTAAAATCGAACATTGATCTAAATCGAACATTGATGAACAATTAAACGAACTTGCTCGAATATATACTTAATTTAATGGAATTTAACTTATTATTTGATAAATGCCCTTAATTAATCTTCACCCCTTTTGTTACCATTTCAATTCATTTTTTTTAAAACTATCAACAACTATCAACTCCTCTAAGTTAATTAATACTACTAATTTATGAAGTCATAAGGCAAACAAAAGATCATCATAATTAATATTAATATTGTTACCATAGAACCACAACGACAAAATATTAAATAAAACACAAGCAAAAGATCAGTTTAAGAAGTCACACCATTAAACACGAAAAAAAATAAAAATAAATATACGGCTTCAACATTCGTCTGCTTAATCCCACGGCATCAACGACTTAGTTCTTCCAAGTATATCTCATACAGTCGGCAAAGTTCTGGGAAGTCGTTGTTCGTCTTCGGATTTTGTTCACCAGGGTATTCCTCCAAAGGCTCCATCTGGTCGAAAATGGCCTTCAGCACGTCCCACTTGGGTTCTGGTTTGTCAATCACGTAGTCGGCAAGTGGCCAATGCTTCAAATAACACGAAATATAAATAAATTAAGCGCTCATCACACATACACAAAGCTTATAGGCTAATTATACATAGGGTTCTTAAATTAATTACCTTTAATGCTACATTCTTGACAAGATCTGGTACATGCGCGGTACATGCAAATGGGTCGTGAAATACCCCTGGTTGCTCTAACAGCCACTTGAAAGTACGATACCTCTCCTTCAACACATAGAACAGTCGATAACTATCAGCCACCGTGTACCAGGCTCTAGTCTCTTCAACGAAACAACCGTGTATCTGTTTAAAAAAAAATCAATGTCACACTCATCCTTCACTCCCTCGAACACCACAAAACGTCGGACGATCCGACAAAATGCATCTTCCAACCAATCGTCCGATCGATATTCTCTCATCTCCTTCTTCACTAATTCGAAGTGTTGTTCTTTGGTTTTTGGCTTTGAAAAGTCTGACATTTTTTTTTTGTTTCAAGTTACGGAGAGAGGCCTTATTGAATGAAGAGGCGTTTTTTTCGGACATATTTATAAGGGTATAATAATAATATGAGGAGGCGTTTTTTTTTATTGAAAGTTGGGGTGTAAAAGACGTTTGAGTGATGTTTAGAATTATGAGTAATAAGTGGTTGTGCAGGAACTGAAAAGCTATTTAGGAGATTTGAAAGGTCATTTAAATTGAGTGGTAAAGTGGTTAAGTTGAAGCCATTTTTTTTTTTTTTTCCAAAACGATAGAAATAACTATTAACGAAAAGCGAGCAAAGCTCGAATACAGCACAGTCCAAAAGAAAACAACATGAGAGGAACATCAACAAAGATGCCCTAGAGCCTCAACGAAACAGCTAAAAGAACAAAGAAAAAGAAAAGAGCAAATCACCCCACTGCCACAAAGCCTAGAAAATAATCTGCTCTTACTAAAAACTAAAACTAAACACCAAAACAATGGAGACTAAAAGAACTAAATAAAAGGAAAATTAGTGAATAGATGAGAACTCCAGCCAATCCGAGTGAGCTGCCTTAACCACAACCCGGGGTGGAGGAAGAGATCCTTGGAAGATCCACTGGTTTCTGGTTTTCCAGAGCCACCATAACAAATAGGTAGACAGCTGGATTCTATGCTCATCAATTGTGGAATGAGATGCAGAGCAAACAAATTGCCACCAAGTTCTGAAAGAATCAGTGTACTGAGAGAGACCCTGCCATGAAACTGGTGCTAAGTCCCAAGTTCTGCTGGCTCTGGAGCAATTCAAAAGCAAATGTTCAATAGTTTCTGGACTCTCACCACAACACCTGCAAATTACATCAATGTTCAAACCTTTCTTCTTAAGATTTGTCAGAACAAGCAGAGAGCCTGTGAGGCATTTCCACAAGAAAATTCTGATCTTCATCTGCACCTTCATTGACCAAGATCTTTTGAGTGTCAATTTCCAAGAATTCACCCTGTTGCTACTTTCTGGAAGATCCAGTTGAAGAATTTTCTGTTTCACCAAGAAGGAGTAAGTAGAAGCAACTGAGAACTGGCCCTTAGGATCAAGGCCCCAGTAAATTCTGTCAGGTCTGCCAGGCCTCAAACTCTTAATCTTTAAAATAGCAGCACTATCTTCTTCATTAAAAACCTGATGAATTAGCCATTCATTCCAACCCAGACCAGAAGGTAACATCAAATCCTTCACAAAAATGAGATGATCCCTAGCAATTTCCAGCAGCACAGGTTTATCTTTAGAAAGATTGGGGACCCAGTTACAGTCAGCAATTCTGGTAGAACTACCATCTCTAATCTCAGTTTTAAGCCATTTAGTAAACAAAGGAAGGACATCCATCCAACAGTTCCAGAGCCAAGAGCCAGTATGAGATTTAGAGGCTTGAAAAATTGAAGAGTGAGGAAAATACCTCTCTTTCAGGACCCTACTAACAAGCAAATCAGGTTGAGATATTATCCTCCATAGCTGCTTACAAATCAGAGCTTCATTAAACAGTTTAAAGTCCAAAAAACCCAAACCTCCATCACTTTTAGGAATTGAAATTTTGGCCCAACTTATCCAGTGAATGCCTTTTGCTTCTTCTGAACTTGATTTCCACCAAAATTGAGCACATAAGCTGGCTAATGAGGAGCAAATGGAGGCAGGTATTTTAAAGCAACACATAGTAAAAATAGGAATTGCTTGCAGAACAGATTTCAGAAGAACGGCCTTTCCAGCTGCAGAGAGTAATTTAGCCTTCCAGTTCTGCAACTTGTTTTTGAAGGATTCCACAAGATAATCAAAAATCTCTTTTTTGGACTTACCAATTCCCAGGGGTAGTCCCAAATACCTGGTGGATTTATGAGATTGAATGCCTTGCAGAGCTGCACAGATACTTCTTTGAAGAAATTCAGGAGTATTTCTGCTGAAAAAGATTACAGATTTAACCAGATTCACAGTTTGGCCAGTGAACATTCTATATCTGTTCAACAGATCAAGAAGAACCCCAGCCTGGTCAACCCCAGCTTTACAGAAAAAGATTGAGTCATCTGCAAACAACAGATGAGATATAGATGGCCCAGACTGAGATAATTTCAACCCCTTCAGAGAACCAGTGTTAGTAGCATCAATTATAAGGGCAGACAGCAACTCAGAGACTATGATGAACAGATAAGGGGAGAGAGGATCCCCCTGTCTTATTCCTCTGGAAGGAGAAACCAGCCCACAGATATCCCCATTTACTTTAAAAGAAATTGAGGTGGTAGATATGCAAGCCATGATAAGTTTAACAAAATCAATATGAAACCCCATTTGAATCATGATCTTCTTAATACTGACCCACTCCAGTCGGTCAAAAGCTTTCATGATGTCAAGTTTCAAAGCCATAAAGAAATTTTTACCAGAAGCATGCCTGTTAAGAAAGTGAAAGGCTTCCTGGGCTATGATGACATTATCAAGCAGTTGTCTGCCCTGGATAAATGCAGATTGAAATCCACTAATGCACCCATCAAGACAAGTCTTAAGCCTCTGAGCAAGAACTTTAGAGATAACTTTATAAACCACAGTGCAAAGGCTAATAGGTCTAAACTTACAGATGGTATCAGGAACAGCACATTTAGGGATTAAAGAGAGAATAGTATGGTTCCAATATTGAAGCATCTGGCCAGTTTGGAAGAAACTCAAGATGGCAGAGATAAAGTCAGATTTGATTAAGTTCCAAAAGTGTTGATAGAAAAGAGCATTCATACCATCTTCCCCAGGTGCTTTATTAGGATGAAGACTGAAAAGAGCTGATTTAATTTCTTCCTCCTCCACAGGGATCAGAAGCCTTTGGTTCATTTCAGTAGAGATAGAGGGGTTGATAAGTTGCAATAAAGAGTCCCCTTCCCAAGAACCCTCAGTTGAGAAAAGAGATCTGTAAAAGTCAGCAATATGGCTCTGGATGTCTTTCTGGCATGTAAGTTCTTCACCTCTGGAGTTGATAAGTCTGGTAATGGCATTCATTCTTCTTCTGTGCAATGTGTAGGCATGGAAGAATTTTGAATTACTATCCCCATGTTTTAGCCAGTGAAGCCTTGAAGTCTGTTGCCAATACATTGCTTCATAGTGGTGAGCTTTGTCCAGATCTGTCCTTGTGGTGCTCCACTCATCCCACTTAGCTGAAGAGTTGTCCTCTCTTAGATCCTCCAACTTCTTGGTAAGAGTGGCTATTTGATGCTGATTTTGGGTTTGGAATTGAGAGCTCCACCTCAACAAAGGCACACTTGTCTGCTTAATTTTTTCCTTGAGTTGAAAAAAGGGAGTACCAGAAACTGGTATCTTCCAAGCTTGAGTCACCACTTCATTTAAACCAGCTTGACCAATCCACCTTGCATCAAATTGGAATCTTCTAGCTCTCCTATCTTTTTTGATGCCAGGATCCAACAGAAGTAAGGAATGGTCAGAGGAGCTTGTGACCAGGTTTAGAGTTTTGGCATTGGGGAAGTTCTGCATCCACTCAATAGAACCGAAGGCTCGGTCCAATTTTTCTTCAACTACATTGTCAGCTCCTCGGTTGTTGCACCAGGTAAATTGATAGCCTTCCATCTTGATGTCTTCCATTTCAATGGCATTGATGAATGCTTTGAATTCCAGGAAGCTGCTTTCAGAACGAGAGTTTCCTCCCTTTTTCTCAGAGTTAGAACATAAATCATTCCAGTCTCCTTCAATAAACCAATGAGATCCCCATTTCCTACTTTTTGATTCTAACAATTCCCATTGAGAAGCCCTTTGAATCTTACAAGTACTCAGGTAAACAAAAACACCCCATTGGGGTTCACTAGAAGGTAACTGAAAATGAACAGCAATAAAAAAGGAGGAACTAACAAGATTAATAATATTAACAGAATTGTTCCACAAAAGCAAAAGACCTCCCCTTAATCCTTGAGGATCAACTACAGAAAATCTATCCTCAAAACCTAATCTCCTGACAACAGTCTTAACAAAAGCGAATGATTTTTTGGTTTCAAAAAGAAAGGTGAAAATTGGGTGATGAGACCTAATTGTCTCTCTGATTTGGGAAACTGTAGAGGGCCCACCCAGCCCTCTATAGTTCCACACCGCAGCTAACATTGAGAACTTGGGTGCCACTCTAGGCTGGCCACCCCCACCTCTTCAGTACCTGCTTTAGCTTTCTTGTAATCAGGGTTCTTAGAGCTTTGACCTTCTTCCTCATCATGGTCTTCTTATTGGATCTCTCTATTCCTCTTCCCAGTAAGATGAGTTTCTATGGAAGAGGGATTTGAAATTTGCCTCTGAAGTCTGCCATCTTTTGAGCTTGATCTCTTCCAAGTTCTGACTTGGCCTTTTCCTTTGTCTGGAATTGAGGTTGCTGAAGCTAAGACAATAGGAAGGTCAGAGGGTTCAATCTCCATAGAGTTGATTTGAGGTTGCTCTCCCAAAGCTGTTGGTTTTGAAATTCCAGGGGATTTGAGGATGTCTCCTGGGGAGCTTGAGGAAGAACCATTGGCAGAGGATTTGAATGCAGGGTTGGAATCCACTGGATGAATGATCAATTGGTTCCTCTGATTAGCTTGACTAGCACTGTCTTGTTGAACAGATTGATGATGTAAAGTATGCTCTGAGGATGGAGGTGAATGTGGTCTGCCAGGGCTAGATGGAGGACTACGAGAACCGGAAGCATGATTATTAATTGAAGACCAGAACTGGCCATCAGGGGCCTTCAACCAGTCTCCATATTGACCCTCCTTGACCGTACAAGCCTTAATATCCTTAACTTTCTTAGAGCACCCTTTGTCCAGATGGCCAATACAGCCGCAATAATGACATAAGTTCTTGAGCTTTTCATATCTGAAACCAATTGTAACCACATCGTCCCCAAGCCTAACCTTGGTACATCTAGGAATTGGTTCATTGGGATCAAGAGACACCAGCAAACGAAGAAATTTACCACCATGGTTCCCAAAATTATCCACCACCACATTGTGAACTTCTTTAAAAACCTTGCTGATTTTAACACCAACCTCAGTGCAGAGCCAATTTAAAGGAATGTTCATTACCTGCACCCATAAGTTGAGTTCTTGGAAGCAGAGGTGTTTGCTATGAAGCTTATGTCTCCACTCACTAAGAATCAAGTACTGATTTTCGAAACTCCAGTTAGTGCCGCTTATAACTTGCTGAAGATCTTCTTTGCTTTGGAAGATAAATTGAAAGTAGTTGGGCTCCAGTTCTTTAACTTCCATTGGTTGCGAGAGTCTCCAAATTTGGCTCATCGACCTTTTGATTCCAATCCAACTGG